TGTGGCTCAAGGCTCATGATTTAATTGGAGTAACTGCCGCAATCCTGACACATATATACCTGCTTTGTGATCAAGTCAGTCTTGATCTATCCAGTTACGTGACTGATAATCTCTTCCCAGAATGTCACTGCCTCTTCTCCTACTCTGGACTTTTATTGCCTTTTGCATATGAAGGCCCCTTGGCTGTATTTCAGGGGGATGTTTACAGTGTCATACATGATGCTTTCTAGAATAATGCCAGTGGTGGTTGATATGGTCTTTCTCATGTTCTTCCAAAATGAAATGCACCCCATGATCATTTCACCATTGCAATGCAATTGTTCAAATTTACTGTTAAATAGCCTTCATAGATCTTATGTGTGCTAAACAAAGTTGGTGATAACATAACTGTTATAACAGTCAACATTTTCTTAACACAGGACTGTCAACCTCCTAGTCCAGGCCAGATGCGTCATGCACTGGCCACGCCCACTCCTGGTTTAGCAAAGGAGGAAAAGTCCTGATACGTCATGTGACGTTGCTGTGACAATGTGAGTTTGACATCCCTGCCCTAACATATCTCCAAAGCTTAACCTATCCTACTTTTGCCTTGGCTTTCTTCAATAGGTCAGAATCAATAATGATACCCTATTTAAAAGATAAATTAGATATGGCATTATTCATCTGCATGAAAAATGGATATTAAACAACTCTAGTACAACCCCCATTAAGCATTTGTAACTCAATACTAAGATAAGACATATATAGATAATTCTCCTTGGAGACAATGAGCTATTTATATACTTTACCTTTTACAACTTCACAAATCAGTAACACTGTAATGAGAATGTGGTTTTAATTTGAAAATTATGTTAAGTATCTAAAATAATATGCATGACTTAACAGTTACAGATTTTACCAAGAGTTTGTTAGTGTTCTGACTTACTTAAAGGCTAAGCAATAAAAGAAAAAGAAAAAACTAAAAGCGATTAAAGAAAAAAGGTCTTGAAAGGAAACAGTATTCCATAATTCATTTTGCATGAGATTTCTTGACATCAATATACAACTTAGTTGTAAATTCACCTGTGGGTCATAAACTCTGAAGGTGCTGTCATCGTGTGTGTGTTTAAACTCATAGTAGCTGATGGACTGCTTTGTTGATTTAAAGTATACTTCTGGCTAATACCAGAATTAAGAATGTGTATATACAGTAAGAAGCTGCTTGTTATGCATTTAATATGTCATCTCTTATTAAGTCTTATAAAGATAACAATCATGACACCAGAAAGCCATATCATTCACTTCATTATCTTTATTACAAATGTTTTGTTATTGAAAATATAGAATTTCCAATCTTTTCTTTTTTTAATTGATGTCTCTCTAGCTCAGTGTTTCACAATCTTGGCTACATTAAGACATGTGGACTTCAACTTCTAGAATTCCCCAGTCAGCATGAAATCCACACATTTTAAAATGGCTAATATTGATAGTTAAACATAGCCAATAGCTGTTTAAAATAGTTAAACGAATGTTAAGACTTTTGCAATGTTTTGGATTCAAGGATGTTTCTGGGCAGGTGTGGAAATATATGTAACACCTATCTACATTTTCTTTAAAAAGCTGCATTCTTTCCTGGGATTGTATAATGGGAATGTAATCCGGTTTTTAATATCTTTGTTCTTCTGAGTCCAAACTGCTGCATCACCCTTTTCACTAATCAACTCTGAGGCATTTTAAAACAGAACTTTGAACACACATTAATTAAAGTATTGTTGGAATCACACCATATCGGATTATATCACTTGGGACATCCAAGGGTGTATGTTAATAATCTCAATAGCTCCACTCCTTTTTAACAAGGATTTTCTCCATGCAAAAAGGAGTGGGATTTTGACCACCTGATCCACAGCCATTTTGACTTCATTGACATGGGCATCTTTGCATCTCTCCAATTACTGGTTACACACAGCAGTTTTCTATGGTTTTAAAACCACTACACCTCAGATCTATCTGGAAATGTTTGAAAACTAACCCAGAACTTTCTACATACAAAGTACACATTCCAGGTAGTTTTCTACACACAAAGTACACATTCAGGGAAGTTAAAACACCACTTATGCAAACTAGAGGTGATTGGTGCAGATGTATGTTTAAACAATTCATTCTGTTGCTGTCAACTTTCTTGCTTCCATAGCCAAGACTCCAACCAAATCATTTCTAGGAACAGTATGAACACACACAAAAAAATTCTTTTAGTGCGAAAAAAGCATTTTAGTGTGGGAAGCAGACGTTATGTGTTCTGAATAAGAGTCTAAGCTTGTCCAAGTTGCTTTGGAGACGTTACAATCCAAAATGATGCAAGATCAGGAAAAAAAAATTGCTCTACTCTGTTTAGTGAAGAGAAAATACAAATGGTTGTATTTCAAGGAGCCATGATGGCGCAGTGGTTAGAATGCAGTATTGCAGGCTAACTCTTCACACAGCCAGGAGTTTGATCATAACCGGCTCATTGACTCAGTTTTCCATCCTTCCAAGGTTGGTAAAATGAGAAGCTTGAGTGCTGACATTGTAAATTACTCAGAGAGTGCTGTAAAGCAGGGGTTCCCAACCCCCAGGTTGTGGACCATTACTAGGTCTTGAGCCATTCGCAACTATGCCGTGGCAGTGGTGGGCAAGCGCATGGGTGCCTTCCTACTTGCACATGTAGTTTGGAAGGGACTTCCAAGATAACAGATAATCAGGGTTGGAAGGGACCTTGTAGGTCTAGTCCAACCCCCCTGCCCAAGCGGGAGACCCTACACCATTTCTGACAAATGGAAGTCCAATCTCTTCTTGAAAGTCTCAAGTGATGACGCTCTCACAGCTTCCGAGGGCAAGCTGTTCCATTGGTTGATTGTTCTCTGTCCATCCTTTATTCCTTGTCTGGCCTATAGGCGCTTTCGAAAATAGCTTGACCCCTTCCTCTGTGGCAGCCTCTTAAACATTGGAAGACTGCTATCATGTCTCCCCTGGTCCTTCTCTTTACTAGACTAGCCAAGCCCAGTTCCTGCAACCTTTCTTCATGTTTTAGTCTCCGTCCCCTAATCATCCTGGTTGCTCTTCTCTGTACTTTTTCTAGTCTCAACATCTTTTTTATGTGGTGACCAAAACTGGATGCAGTACTCTAGGTGTGGTCTTACTAAGGCTTTATAGAGTGGTATTAGTACCTCCCTTGATCTTGATTGTATCCCTCTGTTAATACAACTTAGGATTGCATTAGCTTTTTGGCTGCTGCTGCACACCGCTGGCTCTTATTTAGCTGGTAGTCCACTAATACTCCAAGATCCCTCTCACAGTTACTGCTATTGAGCCTGGTTTCACCCAGTCTATATGTGTACTTTTGGTTTTTCTTGCCTAAGTGTAGGACTTTACTTTTCTCTACATTGAATTTCATTTTGTTAGATATAGCCCAGTGTTCTAGTCTGTCAAGATCCATCTGGATCTTGAGCCTATCTTCTTGGGTGTTAGCTATTCCTGCCAGCTTAGTATCATCTGCAAATTTGCTAAGTTCCCCTTCTATTCCCTCATCTAAGTTGTTAATGAAGATATTGAAGAGTACTGGGCCTAAGATGGAACCTTGTAGCACTCTACTGCTTACTTCCCTCCATGTAGACTTAGATCCATTAAGGACTACTTGTTGAGTACGGTTTGTCAGCCAGTTGAGAGTCCATCTAGTGGTGGTGCTATCTATTCCACTTTTCTCTAGCTTACCAAGAAATAGGTTGTGGTCTACCTTATTGAATGCCTTGCTGAAATCCAAATACAGTATATTATGTCCACAGTATTTTGCTGGTCTACTAATTTAGTCACTATTGTTGAAGAATGAAATAAGATTGGTTTGACATGATCTGTATACTCCATTTGTGTGACCAGTGGGTGCGCTTGGTCCTGCTTCCACAGAATTATCCCCTCCCTGCCACTGGTCTGCAAAGACAGAAAGGTTGGGAAACTATAAAGCACTATGAAGCAGTATATAAGTCTAAGTGCTATTGCTATTTATGAATTTACGAATGATACTGCTTTACCTCAGGGCCTGGGCTTCACTGAATTTGAAGTTCACCCTATTAAGTGCAAATTCTACACTGCCACTCTCCAATATCTAATGCATCCTTTGGCAGAGGAAATACCAATCAAATTTACACCAACTTAATTGGGTGACAGATTTCATATACAAAGAATAGCTTTCCCCACTCAAATTGCTCTCTGGATACAGGGACTTTATTTCTCAATAGAATTCTGGATGGCTTCCAACTTAGACTAAGCTCCTAAAAGACAGAAACAAAGTTTGAAAATGTTCTTGATGTCTTACAGAAAACGACTGAAAACAAAACAACAAGAAATCTAAGTGACAAATACAAAGTTCCTCTCCTGGCAAAAGAAATGCACAGCTATAGAACGGGGGATGTCTAGATGATATAATCTTAAAATTGTGGTTGTTCACAAACTATAAGCAGGAAATTGACATAGCTGTAGAAAAGGCAAGTACAGTTTTTTGATTGCATTAACAGAGTTTAATTACTGGCCATCAAATCAATGCCAATTACCTGGCCATTCAAGTCATCCAGCAGTGCACCATCATGGAAATATATTCTAACATACAAAATTTTTTATGATGAATTGTGCTATCTTGGGCATTTGAAAAGAAAAATCTTAGGTGACTTCTTCGTACCAGGGCATCAGAGCAATTGTGCTTTGAAGGCCAGGAACTTGAAATGCAAAAGCAGTAGTGAGGCTGATCCTATTTTTGAAGATTTGATCTCATGTTTTGTTATCTGATTCAATAGAATAATATGCCTCCAAGTGTACTCTAGTAACACTATTGCAGGATCGAATCCTGCAATTCCTCTCTTCACAGGATAAAGAATTAGGTGTCAGAAAAATAAAATAACACAAAGTTGGTATCCATATTAGCAATATTAAAAACCAGCAGTGTATTTCAGGATGAGGTTATGTTAATGTTTGGTGAATGACCTCTACTAAGAAAATCAGTAACACCGATATTCTCTGGATTTACTTTCCCACGGACATCATTTAACAATTTTTTTCCTCCCTTTTCTTGCCAAGAAACTCACTGCATAAGTGGTTATAGTGCAGTAAAACCTATACTAAAGTAGATGTAATAGAACTGAATAAATATCTGAAGCAACAATAACTTTGAAACTTCTGGTCAATAATTATTACATTTCATAATTATTAAATTCCAGTCAATTACTAAAGCTATGTTGAGTTACCAATACAACACATTAACAAGCAAATCCTTTACTTACACAAATAAAATCCAATTTATAACAATACTTAATTTTTATAGCTAAGCAGTATCATATATTTCTCCAGAAAATAAATATGATTTCATAACCTAGGTAACCTTTGGAAGCTTATTGCAATACCTAATTCCCACTTGTAAACAAGCTGTTTTGTAGTTCAGAGATTGATTCTCTATATCCACTGGATGAAAATCTATATCCTATTTACTGTAGAAGTAGGCCCTAATTTGACAGAATTAGTTACTCTATTTAAAAAAATAAAAGGAGTATCTGAAATTGCTTTTTTGCATAATAAATTCATACTTAACCAGGAGCACGTACTTAATTTGCACTTCTACTTTGACAATTTTTATTGCGTCAGTTGAAGGAATGTTCAACAGATATGTAAATGCCAAATTCCATCGGAGTTTGCTAATCATAATGTAGGCATTAGAAAAAGTGGGGAAACACATTTCTATTTTTCTCCCATTTACAAGGAATCTGAAGAGAAAATAAATATTTTCATTCATGTTTAGAGTTTACCCCAATGCAAATAACTTACTATCAGTGAGAGACCAATCTATTATACAATACAGTAGAGTTTCAACTTTAATAAACAAATTTTGAAATTTTTCAGTGCCAACATGGACTGAGTTTAATGGGATCTTTATGCAAAATGAACCCATGTTCAAGTAATCTGTCAAGACTGAAGTTACATTCAACTATTTAGTAAATTCATCAAATGAGTAATTCAGATTATGTCATATGATTGGATTTGAAATTTGGCAGGAACTAGAGATTTCAAAAACATATCAATAGAACATTCCATCTTTCTGGGAAAATATGATGGAAACTATGTGATCCTGATTTTGCATCACTGACATAATTTTTATGCCTCTATTTCCATCTCTATGTACAGATATACAGTTATTATGCACATGAATACCTTTTTAAAAAAAGAGTTAGAATAGCAGAAACAAACAGAAAGGGATAGTTGCTTATCTATTCTCCCAACTGCAGGAAACATCTGTATTATGACAAAAAGAATTACTCAAACAACTGGAATGAAGTTTGCCGATCATCATGTCAATATGTAATGTGGCTGTAACTAGTAGTTCTTTGCACCTTAGGAAACAGGATTCCAAAAAGATTTGGTAACGTTTATTTGAACCGGATAATTAAGCAAAGAATTCTTGCTCAGCATTCAAAGTATTCAAAATCTTTGCCCAAATTACATTCTAAAGAAAACATTTGCTTAAAGGACAGAAAATTATTTATCTCTGAATTCTTTTTTTTCATGTCTTTCACGCATAACTTCCTCCACATGTGGCCATAGATAAGGCTTATCCTAAAAATAAGACAGAAGACATTTTTATTAAAGTTTTACAAAACACACAAAAAATAATACAAGCTAATGAACAGCAGAAACAGTAAAGAAAGAGCAAAAATGCAAAAAGAAAGAATAAAAAAATAGAAGCTTCTGGTTCTGATTTCCTTGGTAGCACATATGAATACATTTACAAAATTGTCCCTAGGATTAGAAAAAAATCTCTTTTTTCGATGGTATTATTCAATTTTTTTCTAACCATAAAATCACAAGTCATAAGTGCATTTTTCCCTATTTCATGAAAAGGGGTTTCCAGTCAACCATAAATGTTGGATACTGGTTTATCTTTCAATCAGGATGAAGAAAAAACCATTCTGGCACAGCAGTAGGCTAGCACCAAATTTAAAACAGAAACGGCCGTGAAAGTCTGACTCACAGACGAACACTATACAGAAGCCTGATGATGGCAGATGAGATTCTGCCGAAACGTTGCTACAACTTTAAAAGCACAACTATGATGATGTGGGAAAATACCCGAACAAAACTGAATACCATGTATATGTATGTATGTATGTATGTATGTATGTATGTATGTATGTATGTGTATGTATATGTATGTATGTATATGTATGTATGTATATATGTGTGTGTGTGTGTGTGTGTGTGTATATATTCATTCATTCATTCATTCATTCATTCATTCATTCATTCTACACCAGGCAAGGTTATTGAAACTGTCAACTTCTGATGATACTAATAGTGGAACCCTTTTCCTCCAACATATTTCTGGGGTCAAACTATTCTGTGGCTAGCTTCACACACTGCATTACACCATAGCTTGTCTTGATTTTGATTTGATTACTGGCAGAATTCAACACAGCTAGGTATAGCCATGACTATGGAGAGTAAATAATAACTTTACTTCATTCCCTAAGAGGGATGAAACTTCTTAGAAATGAGGAACCAGTAAGTAGAATGGAGAGACCTCATATACTACAGCAGTGTTTCTCAACCTTGGCAATTTTAAGAAGTATGGACTTCATTTTCCAGAATACCCTAGGCAGCATGGGAGATGGTCATACAACTTAAAGCTGCCAAGATTGAGAATATTGTACTAGAGTCTGATGCATTGCACAGGGTAATTATTAAATTCAAATGTATTTATTTATAATCTCTCACACACATTCTTTTCAGATTAGCAGAAATTTCTTTGGGAGGATTTTTAACTATAAAATGAAGGTTTTAAATATCTTAAACATTTAATTTCTACAAGGATACTGATATTCCTGCCTGCTTTGAACCAATCTTCCCTATACAATGGATTCCTTTTATTAATCTGCATACAAGAATTCATACCTCTTCATATTTTGTCCACTGATCTTTAGGAAGGATCTCATGTGTCAGACTCAACTGGGCTGCTCTCTTGATGCGAAATATTCTTTCATAATATTCATCTTCCGGAAGTCTCTTTATTGCTTCTTTGACAACATCAGTTTCATGTAGTATATCATCGCGCCTTAATCCTGCAACAGAAAAATAAAATACCAGTCAATCAATTAGATGAAAAAAAGTATTTAGCATTTAAAGCATACTAATGTCTTGAAGCTTGCATTTGGCAACCCACTGTGCAATTAACTGCTGGATAGGAGATCAAGAAATTATTTTTTATAGATTTGTTAAAAATGTCTGGACAATGAATCATAGATGAGTCACTCCAGCACCCTACTTCCAATTCCAGCATAACCAAAAGACCCATTTAAATGTTTTCATGATGGGTTGCATGGCATTGCCATTCAAAAGTCCCTTATCTGGAGTTTCTGAACCACTCCTCATTTCTGAATAAACATGCACAAGTAGACAGTTTATCATAGACAGTTTATCTTCAGTGATGCCTATAAGCTATAGTTGGTAGTAACACATTTATATCTGGTTGCTTGGAAGTCAGCAGCCTTACAACCTATCCAAATTGATGACATTATGAAATAAAAAATATAGGTTGATGCTGGAGCAATTTGCTATTTCACTTTAGTCAAATGTACAAACAATTGACAATGTGGCCAATGACTAACATGTAAATTATAGCTATAGTAGTTGTCTTTAGTTACAAAATAAAACTAAATAATTCAGAGTAACCGATTTTAATTTTTATCATTTATTTTGTGACTAATACAATGAACAGCATGTTTGAAAAGATTTTGTTTCAATTCAGTAAAGAACTTATACACCAGTAACACATTAGCAAATAAAATTTATAGTTTAAAAATATTCATAGAAAATGCCCACCGTATTTATTGAATCCTTGTGCATTGTAATACCATTTGCGAAAGCTCTCAAACAGACGACCGCCAGCTGAAACTAGAAGTATCAATCAGTTAACTTAAGATGCTACACCTGTTCCATATCCATATCCCAACACTCCCAGAACTACAAATACAGTAAGATGCAGTTATAGGGCTGCAACACTTTCAATCCTAGAAAATAGGATTGTCGGCCCAGAAAAATTCAACAGTAGAAACAAGTGCACTATTTCTGAGAAAGAAGAATTTGCATACATTATATTTGGGTGTAAGTAAAAAGACTTTTCAATATACAAGTTCAGACAGAATACTATTAATAAACTTTGTTACATTTATGACCATTACCTTTAATATGTGTATAGTTTTAACTGTATTCAGAACAAAACTGTTGGCTTCATCAGAGAACTGCTAGTTACACATTTTATAGATGAAAACATTTTCTTCTACTTTGTGCCATATAATTTCAAATGTATTAGTGATTACAGTTGAAGACCAATACTTCAAAGGATTGGAGTGCATTAAGGATGTGCAGAATGATAGTTTAAAAACCTTAAAATAATACAACAGCAAGAATAATATGAGAAGTAAATATTCCACTTAATGCAGTATTAAAAAAAACCTCCTATAGCATTAAAACTCCTATAGCATTACCTCCTGTAATGCTTTTACTGTATTCCAGGGGTGTCAAACTTGTGGCCTGCAGGCCAGATGCATCACGTGCTGGCCCCTCCATTGCCCAGTTTAGTGAAGGGGAAAAAAGTCCTGATACATCGCATGACACAGCGAGTTTGACACCCCTGCTGTATTCCAATCTAAATATTGTTCTTCTACTTCCTAATCCCTTTATGCTGAAATTGAAATATATGTGAATTGTCCAGATTTACAATGAGCTAAGATCAACACTATTCTAAAAACTGCGAGGTACACATGCTCAAGTACACATGCTCGATTCTGAACTAAATAAAAGTACTCAATACTTATTTAGAAGTACATATATACCCTAACTAATGTATATTAGTACATAGAATAATGCATATTCTCTTATCAGGCTTCCTTTATATAATCCCCCATATAACTTAGGTATTATATTTTTGTGCCTATACAAAACACTAATCACATTGGCAATACTGCAGAATATTTATTTTAAAACTGTACGGGATAAAGTTGGAATTAGAAAAGGGGAAAACTTTGGGAACCAAATAAATCTGGCAGCATTTCTGTATTCTCAAATTCAGGAAACAGATATAAAACAGTGGTCAGAAAAAATCCCCTTTGATTACATATTGATAAAATTGATGAGTTATCAACTTCTTTCCCTACTAGGTAAACTCCTGTGGCCACTAACACCAATATCAAGAGAACTAAAATAAATTTTATATTTCTACTCTGTTCCTCTTCCTCTAGGACGGCTGTACTGTATACCTTTTTTTTTTTCAAACTATCCCCCAACTAAGCAGCCATATAGCCTTCAGAAACCACTAAAAACCTCATAGATGACTAGCAACACCGGCATATATTCTGACCAGACAAGACAGAGACTTGAAAGTCAAAAAGGACAGGGCAAAAATATGTGCTATTAGTTGCTATCCTAAAGATCTTTTTAGAGTTCCTTTTCACATCCAAGTGTTTCAGAAGAGGAGGATAATCCCAACGAAGCCCCAAAGTTATCCTTTCATAAAAACTTTTTTTTCATTGTTTGACAGAAGACTCCTTTGGAGTCAGAGCCCACGTAGGCCGCTGCAGTAAAACCAACAACCCATTTAGAAGCTGGCAGGACAGCCCGCCCTTTCCAGAGTTCAAAGCACCGCTAAATTCAAAGGGGGTTTTTCTTCAAAGGAGCCACGTACAAAAGCGATGCTGTACATACACACACAGACCTGAGTGGTCGACAACCCTTATCGTGTCTTACGTCCTCTTACCATCACTACCGATTAAACCAGGCTTGTCTGGGTCACAAAACGACACAACCTTAAATACGCCGCCTTCTTCGACGGTTAAAGTGGCCGGACTAAAACGATCTCTTTACTTACGTACCGGGTGCCCTGCCCGCCATTTTCACCTCTACAAAACCCGAACTGCCTGCCGGGAAAAGGAGCGAGGTCTTTATTACCACGTGCTCACGGCCCCGCGTTGTCACGTGACGCTGGCGTCAACGGCACGTTACTCTGCGTGATGAACGCTTGGACGGTCCTCAGCGATGTGTCTTTTTCCTGCCGCGTACAATCGAAGCGTGAACGGCAAGTTTCCTTTTATACAATAAATATGGGTGTGTGTTTTTTTAAAATAAAAAAAAAACAGTAAGATGTCTTGCAAGAGGAATTGCGCTACATTGTTTTCTGACAATGGACAGTGAACAAGGTTGCTGCCGACAGTGGGAAATGGATAGTCAAGATGACTCTTAATTTATAAATTGAGTCTACTAAATTTGGCAGAGGGAGTAATGGAGGTTTCTCCTAAGTATGGTTTAAGAGAGTAGTTTCAAACAGCTCTAAAATGAAAGCCAAGATTATTATTCCTTTGTATGATATTTTTCTGGCACGGGGCAGAAAAAGCCTTTATTTAAGTATTTTGTCAAAAGTGGTATGCATTACAGATCTTGAGAATGTTTAAACATTGAGAAAATTTGCAGTATTATCTTTTGATGAATCTCTGTTCAATCTCAGATTGTGAAAGCTGGAAAAGATCTTGTCATGCTGTGAAGACCATGAAAACTGATAAAAGGTTGAATATTTCAGCAAGTCAACTGTCTGAAATTTAACTCTGAAGCAACCATGAAGAATGTTTTGCAGAGCAGGATTTAATTCTCCAGGAGCCAACTTTTGCCATTTTAGTTTTATCTTTTGTATCAATAGTAGATATTTCAAATTAATTCAGTGATATACACCGGTACATATCACACTATATCTTGAATATCATTTGATATCAAATTCAAGTTGCTTTCTGCTTTTAGATCCTCAGTTGTATTATATACCCATGTGTATAGTGTATGTAAAGAGTTATTTATAAAGTGATAAAGGTGAGATAAAAATCTAATAAATGAATAAAATATTCCACAATCATAGAAAAAGTATCAAGTAAGAATGCTTACAAATGATCCAGATAATCAAGTTGAATGCTGACGAAGTACTGAATTCCCACAAAGTGAATGAGCAGACTGAACAAAACATATATTCCTTTGAACCAATGCCAATATGAAAAATGAAAAAAATCCACAACTGTTCATAAAATATTTTTTATTTATTTACCTATCAAATATAGAAACTGCCCATCTCCCTCACAGAGGGATTCTGGATGATATACAAGTAAACTGTAAATTATAACATCTTCATGCTATGTTTTAGAACAGTGATCCCCAACCTTTTTTACGCCGCGGCCCGGTATCCCCAACCTTTTTTATGGCGCAGCCCGGTACCGACATCAGCTGGGCGCCGCCATCTTGTTTTGATGAAAAAGTGCTTCCGGTGAGCTTTCTACCCGGAAAAGCTCACCGGAAGCACTTTTTCATCAAAACAAGATGGCGGCGCCCAGCAAGCCAGCGGCCCGGTAGGACTTGTTCCACGGACCGGTACCGGTCCGTGGACCGGTGGTTGGGGACCCCTGTTTTAGAAAGTACCAAATCCAAATATTAGGTTTCCATTTTCCTTCTGAGTTAACCTCCACAATCATTTGGATTACTATTTATTAGAATAGTTCAATGTGAAAATGTATTTTGGAATTACAAGTCAAATCAGATTGCCTGTAAGGCGCAGAACCATATATTCACTGCAATCAAGAATTTTCATTAATCATCAAGTAATCAATTTTTTCCCTTTAAAAAGTTTGTGCGGTAGGGGGTTGGAATATGCTACAAAATTATGCAATTGTAGAATGCAGTCATGTAAAACATAGACAGACCTAATACAGCTTCTAAAATGGATGAAAAACAGACTTTTGGTTTGGGATGATTTATAATTATGGTTACACAGTATATTTAATAGGGAAATTTTAATTTGCCTCTAATGTAACCTGCACTCACATAACTTCTCCTTCCTCCACCTCTTCCCAGTTTAAATCTTCCATCAGTCTAGTAACTTCTCTGCAACAGATGAAGTGAGCTGTATCTCACATTTATGTTAGTCTGAAAAAATGCTACCAGACTTTTCTATTGTATGTAATAATATTGATTTATTCACTGTGGAATAAATTTAAAACCAGATATTGTTATACTTCTGTAAACAATACATCTAGGTCATTGATGGGAAACACAAGTGGCTACACTCATGACTATAAATGCTCAATCATCCTTATATTTGATTTATGATGTTTGTTTTTCTTATTTAACATTTATCAGCACACTTGGATATAAGTTGTATCTTATTTCTAAATTTGTTTGCATATTTAGAAGTCATTTTACTTAATGACAGTTTTGCCAAAATTTGTAGTTAGAAGGCCTACTACCAGATGTATTTATATTTTTTAAACAGTTCTTTACAGCGTTTTCAAAAACTTTTCAAAGTCTGTTATTTCTGCTTTAGCAACTTCAGCACAAAACACATCATCTGGCAAGGTTATCAATTTTTCCAAGGAGATGTAGCTTGGTTGCTCTGGATCATATTGGGCTCTTCCCAGGAACTTAAGAAAGAGATGTCTTTCTTTGATTCGTAATAACTTTGCATTAAAAATCTAAAAAAGAAAAAGGATGAAAAATGTACCTTATTTGGGCATGTCATACTGAAATCAGTGGCAAATATGGCATTGAACAAGTCATTAAAACTAGTGATATGTGCAAGTAAGTTTCATAAATATGGACAATTTCACTTATTTTTAAAAATACATGAATGCATATCTTTACATCTTGAGAATTGGGTGAGCTTGTTTCTTGATAGTGGTTATGCTAATAATGTTTTTGGCTGCTATGCTATTTTATGTTATTTCTTCTCTTTTTATTGTTTTTGATTGTTAGCCACCCAGAGATACATATATGAGATGGTGGCCATCTATTGAATCGATTATGTTGATATACAATCTGCATGAATTTCCCTTAAGCTACTTTTCACATTTTGTGCTCCAATGACTAGTAATTAGATACATCTCAAGATTCTTACCTGAGGAAAATGTACCATAAGTTGGTGGGGAATGCCCATTACATTATGTACATAATCAAAAATCTGTGTTAACTTCTTTTTTCCTGTACTTAAGTTTTTAGGGACTGTGTGTGCAATATGACGGATTTCATTCTTACTAAATCCAAGTTCTTCTTCATACACCTGAAAAAGAGAGTGATTGCTATGAATCAATTTTGAAATTTGAAAGAAGTCAAAGAAAATATTGGGACAACATTTCCAAGAAAAAAATGAAGCATTTCCTCCTCAATTTTTAAAAATATTGCATGTTCAACACAGTTCTGTGGATTGGCCAAAATAAAACAAGTTATAATTTTCTAAAATCCTTGTGTGAGTTGTATTCTCAGTATCTTTAGAATATTGAAATAGAAAATAAAGTCCCAGCTTTCAACAGACATACAGAGTTTACTGTTATTGAGCATTCAAAAAAATTTCTAACATTCATTGATTGCACTTGAATCTATATAAGGATTACACTGTACAATGCCATGTTTAAAAAAGTAAAAAAATAGCCCATTTTTTGTTATATAAACATAGGTCATATAAACCTGACACATAATGAGGTTCACACACCTCATTAAACATACCCCCCCCCTATTTGTGGTTTGTGAGCAACAACACACAAGTTATTATACAAAGTACTGCCACGCACTAGCTTTCTATCATATTTATAAAGAACTTAAAGGAACTTGTTTCAAAGTCACAGGGCTTGTGCAAAACACTTTACATGTACTAGGGCTGTGATAGTGATCCTATGACTTGCGTGCCAGAGATGGTACGTAGAGTCCTCTCTGTGGGCACGCCCGCCATTGCCAGCTGCTCTTCTGGGTTCCGTCATGCACCTGTGCGCCAGCCAGTTGCTCTCTTCCGGTTCCAGTGCACGCTCGAGTTTCGGTACTCGGTACCAAAAAGGTTAACCATCACTGTACTAGGGTATTATTCTTGTTATATGTTAAGTATAAGGTAGAACTGGAACCTGTGAAAATTGGTCCAGTTGCTATCTTGCATGACTCTTAACAACTTTTATGAGTTGAATAATGAATATTGAATAATTTACAATAATAGCTAAAAGAAGGAGACTTACTGCAAGATTTTCTTCGATTGGTTCAAGTTTGCCAGTTAGCAATCTTGGATGACGGGTTACCAGATTTCTAGTCTACATTCAAAAACAAATGAATATGTATTAAATAATATACATTTAGGTTAAAATAAACATTTGTATTTCATCAGCAGAGTATATTTATATATATAGGCAACATGATTCTAATTGAAAAAATATGGACGTATATAGTATGGTAAAATCACATTAGGAGACAATTTAATATACTGGCAGTTTTCACACATATATAATTTTAAAAGCAAGCAGTGATATATCTTCTATTTTTACTTATGCTTCTGTTTAGAGTGGCAGCCATATTCATAGGAAGCTATTGTGCCTCAGCTATTCATGGGAAGCTATTGTACCTCAGCTATTCATGGGAAGCTATTGTGCCTCAGCTATTCATGGGAAGCTATTGTGCCTCAGCTATTCATGGGAAGCTATTGTACCTCAGCTAGACACAGATTTCCTTATTTGGGTGTTATGGTTATGTAAGGAAAAATCAATATACAAGCAGATATACAATCCAGAGTGTAAATAATATAAGAATGTACACTGCTCAAAAAAATAAAGGGAACACAAAAATAAGACATCATAGATCTGAATGAATGAAATATTCTTTTTTTTAAAAATAAAGTTTTATTTGGATTTTCACACATACAAAATACAAATAAAACATCCTTTTTGAAAATAGCATGGTCCCGGGTTGAACTTCTTTATACAGACACAAAACTCAATTTCATGCTCCTTTTTGTGTTCTATTCCATATTTTATACTATTCTATATTTTCTATATAGTTTTTCCCCTCTTTTACTTTTCTCAATTTTATTTTGATTATCTCATCTCAATTCAAATCATTATATTTATACTTTTGTCTGTTCTGTTTCAATTTCATATTATGTTTTCTCATTAAACAAATTTCTCCTGTAGTTACTAATTGGAGTATGACACCTTTATATCTTTT